CCTATTTTGAGAGCCTTCTAACCTAACTGGACTATTTATAAATTGCGTGATAATGTATCAAACAGTGTTTCTTTGCTACTCATAAAGTTTTCCCTGGCCAATTCTTTGAGAAGTGGACGACCTCCTCCTCCTTCCTAGCCTGTCTCAGTCTGTAAGCTAGGCTGATACCTGTGTACCATGTGCATCCCGCTGGGTTTGAAACACCAGTGGCTCAGCCTCAAAACTCACATCAACACATCACCACAGTAGGACAAACTGACAGACAAGTTTGTCTCTCTACTGGAAACCTCTCCTACCACACTTACCTGGGTCCCTGTGGCTGACTCCTCCTCTGCCCAGATTCCTAGGCCTTTTAATTCCCTTTCTTCCGCTCTCCCACCCTGGTGCTTTGGGCATGCCTGAGTTCCCTATCCTCACCGGGATCCCTGAGGCTGACTACTCCTCTGTCCGGGTTCCTAGCTTTTTATCCCCTTTCTCCTGCTCTCCCGACCTACTGCTTTGGGCGTGCCTCAGTTCCCTCTCCTCACCTGGATCCCTGCAGCTTACTGTTTCTCTGTCCGGGTTCCTGGCTTTTAATCTCCTTTCTCCCGTCTCCTGCCCTGGTGCTTTGGGTGTGCCTGATTTCCCTCTCCTCACCTGGATCCCTGCAGCTGACAGGGATCACCTATTTTGGTCATGTTGTCAGAAGGGACCATTCCTTGGAGAAGGATGTCATGCTTGGTAGGGTGGAGGGTCGACCAAAGAGGGGGAGGCCTTCAAAAAGATGGATTGACACAGTGGCTGCGATGATGGGCTCAAGCATAGCAGGGATCGTGGGGCTGGCACAGGATCGGGCAGTGTTTCATTCTGCTGTGCATGGGGTTGCTATGAGTCGGAAATGACTCAACGACACCTAACAACAACAACAACAAAGGAGATCCACAATGGGGTAAACAGCCAGTGGATTAGTTACTAATGTTGCTGTTGTAAGGTGCGTCGAGTCAGCTCTGACTCATAGTAACTCTATGCACAACAGAACTAAACACTGCCCAGTCATGCGCCATCCTCACAATCCTTGCGAAGCTTGAGCCCATCACTGAAGCCACTGTGTCAATGCACTGTGCTGAGGATCGTCCCCATTTCTGCTGACCCTCCACTTCACCAAGCATGATTTCCTCCTCTAGGAATGATCCCTTCTGACAATATGACCAAAGTAGATGAGACCAAGTCTGGCCATTCTTATTTCCAAGGAGCATTCTGGCCACACTTCTTCAGGACAGATTTGTTCATTCTTCTGCCAGTCTATGGTATTTCTAGTATTCTTCACCCATGCCACAATTCAAAGGCATCAACTCTTTGGTTTTCCTTATTTGTTCAGTTTTTACATGCATATGAGGCAACTGAAAATACCATGGTTTGGATCAGGTGCACTTTAGTCTTCAAAGTGCATCTTTCATCTGATGATCCTACCTCATAGTTCAATGTTTACTAGAGTTGATACTATTCTGGACCAGTCTATATTGTTACGTGAAGGAGAAGAAAAATTCTACGCTTTTTGTTCTCTGCATGGCTTGACAGGGACCCTCTTCTGGATGACACAGGCGCCTGGAGTGTCTGTGTGTCATTTACATGTCACGTCTTCTCCACATCAGGTATCGACAGGTGTCATTTTTGCAAAAATGGCTTTGAAGACTTGACCTGGGAGTTTTTAATATCTTTAAAATTTCTGATTCCCTAATATTTCTTCCTAACAAATAAATGATTTAAGTTTGTCCAACAGATGAATGAGCCCAAATTCTAATTTTCTCTTGTAAACATAGAAATATGCAGCCTGGAATTAAATAATATACAAAGGTACAAAAACACATTCATAGGGCTATACTGTTTGTTTAATTTTAACTTACTACTTTTCTGCTTGCAGGGGAGGCTAAAAGAGAAGAGAGTTTTAGTATTACCTATATATCACTTTGCATAGTAAAATGATGCATCAGGTTCCTTTATAATGGTGATTTCACTACTGAAAAGAGTCAGCTAATGTAGAAATTAATTTTATTGACCAGCTAGTATCATCAATGGCTTAATATGTGGTACTATCATCACAATGGGGTTCTCTCCGTGTACTTTTTATTCTTTTCTGAGATCCTAAAAATCTCTTTAGTTAGTGAATTGAACATCATAAATTTTAACACTTGGGAATTCTCTCTCTCTCTCTTTTTTTTTAAATCAAGCTATAACTAAAACTAGGGGAGGTGCAGTGTAGTAAATTACCTGGTATGGCTTTAATATGAATTTTTCTGAAAAAGTAAGTCACAGCTAAATTTTGGAACATCCCTATAAATATTTCTGTAAGTTCTCCATAGTTGGGTTGTTAGGCACAGCCTTTGACCACCCTTACTTTCTCATATTTGAGAATTCTCACATTATGTTGTTGATATAAATGCATGGGAAAAGAAAGGCAATCTTTCTTCAATACACACTCCTTGCTTGACTGCTGTTAGTAAATGTTTGATTAGTCATTAAGAAGCCTTGTTACTAATAATACATCATGAAAACTGTCAGTATCTAAACGATTTTTGCTATGGAACAAACCTGTGACTCACCGTCATCTTACGGATAGCTCAAATCCAATTGTTATAGACCATTAAACAGTGTGGCTATGGTCCAGGTCAGGAGATAGAAATAAAGGAAAGTAACAAATGACTCTGTTACCTCCTTTAATAGTTATGTCAAAACCCTACCATCATATTTAAAGACTCAAGAAATAAAAGTATTTCTCCTTTTTCGGAGTACAGAATTACTAGCTCCACTAAAAATTAATGAATCCAAATGAAAAGAAAGCTTAATGCTACAGCTTTGATATTCCTTCAGGCCCAGGAAATTCTAGTGGGATTGATGAGGTAAGTTAACAGGCTCCTCAAGGAAGGTTGGGCAATCTACTTCCATAGTGATACCACCTCAGAAACCCAAGGAGGGGTCGCTATGATTCGGGTCCAACTCAACAGCACATAACAACAACAACGGGTGCCGGTGACAAAGAAAGGCCCCAGTTGTTCCACTCACCTCTCCACAGTTGCTTTTGATGGGTGTGAGGTAACCGCATGTGGGCTGGTCACTGGTTCTCCATTTCCTGGAGAGTTTGTTACACATGGAAGTGCAGATACTGTTGGACATAGCCAAGGAGAGAGAACAAAGAGTTACTGATACTGTATTATCAAACCCAAACCCCATGGGCCAGAATGGCTGAATTTATGTCCTGTCTGCTATTTATCAGCTGTGTGATCTTGGGGAAGTCACTTAAATACTCTGTGCCTCAATTTCCTCATGGGTAATAGTACCTATACTTTAAAAGCTACCCTGAGAATTAAATGTATTAACATCTGCAAAGGACTTAGTGCCCAGTACATTGTAAGGACTGAAATAAATTTATTACCTTTGCTTGCACTAAATTGACTCCAGACAAAAAATTTATAATATTAAAACCAAAGCAATTAATGAAGATAGCAGTAAGCTGACTTGGTCAGGCTGATTCTGAACACCTGTTATAGATGAAATTGTGTTCTCTCAAAAAATATGTTGTAAATCCTAACCCCTATACCTGTGAATAGGAGTCCTGGTGGTGCAGCGGTTAAGTGCTTGGCTGCTAACAGAAAAGTAGATGGTTTGAATGCACTAGTGGCTCCATGGGAGAAAACACTTGCCCCTGTAAAGACTTCAGCCCAGGAAGCCTACTCTGCAGGCAGTCCTACTCTGCCCCATATGGTTACTATGAGTCAGAACCTACTTGATGGCACCCAACTGGATGGCACGCTACATGATCCCATTTGGGAACAGAGTTTTTGTTTGTTATGTTAATGAGACTGTATCTGTGTAGGGTATGCTTTAAATCAACCACTTCAGAGATCTAAAAGAAGAACAGACAGAGAAGCAAGCAAGCACAGATGGGGGAAGACGGATGCCACACCACACGAAGATTGCCAAGGAACCCTGGCACAGAAACTAAAAAGAGCTAAGGACGTTCCCTTAGATCCGACACAGAGAGAAAGCCCTCCCCTTCAGAGCCAGTGCCCTGAATTCAGACTTCTAGTTCCTGTGGAAGAAACCCTAGTGGTGCAGTGGTTAAAGAGCTTGGCTGCAAAACCAGTGAGTGGCTATTCAAGCCCATCAGCTACTGTAGGAGAAAGAAGTGGCAGTCTGCTCCATAAAGATTTATAGCCTTGGGAAATCCTATGGGGGCAATTCTACTCTGTTCTATGAGTTGACTCAACAGTAATGTTTGTTTATTTTTTTAATAACTGTGAGAAGATAATTCTCTGTTTGTTAAAGCCACCCACTTGCAGTATTTCTGTTAGAGCAGCATAAGATAACTAAGACCACATCTTTACAGAAGGATTCAGAGCAAATCACCAGGGATGCCTTAAGTTATAAAAAACACTGCTAAAACTCAGTTCAGTTCTAGTAACCCTTAGAATGAGGAGGATTTCTTGAATAGAAGGTCCCCAGTTCAATGCTCAGCTAAGCCAACAATATAACTAACTTTATAATCTGGGGCAGGGTTACTTAAAGTATGTGGCAATTTATGGTTTGGGCCTGATGTGAGAAAATCACTGAGATAATAACACAGGAGAAGACAGACAACATGCAAAGATGCACCTACAAGCTAAGGATTGCTGGCAGCCACTGGCAGCTGGGGAGAGGCATGGGATAGTTGGAATGATTTCAAAGGCATCTCAAGGGAGTTTTATTTCCCAGTCTGGCACAAATTCAACAATCAGTGGTACAATCAGTCTGATAACTGAAGCAAAGGAACAATTAATAACTTGAAAACTAGTAAAATTTACAAAGCTAGTAAGAGTCAGCCTCTGAGCAGATTTCTGATAGGTCTAAGAGACTCACCTCGCTGGCCTACTTGCCCCATAGAATCCTCCCTGGGGCACTGATAATACCAGTCAGCACTCTAGCGTGTGACTGGGAGAAGAGGAAGATGTGTGATCCACAGACAACCCTTAAACCCCTTTATAGTAGTTTAAACTCAAACCAAATTTTGTGTAAGTGTTAAAAACATTGTACAATCAATAGGTACAATGATTGCTAAGTTTCACCTTTTCTCTTGTCTTTATCCATTCTGAGGCTGAGGTACAAAGAATATTGAAAGAACTGATGGGGAGAAACAGAGAGGATGAAAAATAAGGGACAGATGAAAAACAAGGAGCTTCACCATACAAAACTAAAGAATCAGTCCCTCAACAGCCCTCAGTCCAATTTGCATTTTGAATTATCATTCTGACAGCCCATAGGGGCTATGACAGCTTATAGCCTGTATCTATGACATCATCCTTGAAGAGAGAGTGCTAAAAATGCAATAGGCTTAATATGCAACAACTAGGACTATTCTTCAAACAAATATAATTAGCACACCTTTAAAACAGTCTGGATGCCCTGTTATAAAGCAAACAGGACACACCAGAAACTAGAATAGCTTTAACTGAAACAAACTCAAAACACCAATAATATTTTATATTTGAAAACCCCTCGATTTTCAGGGAATGGATTTTCCCATTAATCATCTGGTTTGATCTTTATTCCAGTCCCGTGAGCTCCTCTAGCCTCACAGAGAAACTGAAGTACTTCTGATTCTTTCTTTTCATATTGCAGATGAGGAAGAAGAAGACCAAATGGTGAGCTATCTAGTCACCCACTTATATATGCCATCATGAAGACAGCGTGGGTCATAAAGAAGCAGAACTGGAAGCCAGTAACCACAGCCTGTCAGTTAACCTGTGAACTTCCTGGACGTAGAGACCTGGCTTGTTCTGTTCACACTGAATCCCAGCTCCACAACAGGGCATGGCACAGAGAAAGGCTCCAAAAATGCTTGTTGATACCAAGAGAAAGTACCATTTGCCTGACAAGGCTTAACTGAGGACTAAATAAGAAAACGTATGAAAATACATCCAACACATTCAACAAATATTAATGGAATCTGAGTACTAAAATTAAAGTTCATTTTTCATTTAAATCAAATTTGTTTTTAAATAACCAAGAAATCAATAATCTCTGCCCAAAGTCTATACCCTATGAACAACTTTCTAACACAATTTCAATAGACTGTTCACTTTATTGCTACTCTTAAGTCAGAACTAAAAGAACGTTTCAATCCCTTTTTTGAGAACTGCCACAGGTGTACGTTGTGAAAACACAAAAATTTAAAATCCTTAAGAGGAAATATAAACATGTACTACTTTAGCATATAATAAATAGCAAATGATTTAATTTTATAAACTCAAAAGGAACTCTTCTAATCGTATGAGTGTGTGTATGTATGTGTGTGTGTGTGTGTGTATATATATATATATATGAATACATAAATATAATGCATATAAGTATATGCAAATAGTTATATAAACACACATACAACTATATGATGCTTTAAAATATAAAATGATTTCAGGTATTAAGCACTCCACCAGAGTACAATAAAATCTGTGAGAGCTATAACATGTGTGAGGTAGAAACCTATCAGAGAAGGAAAGCTTAAATATTTATTTTCCACTAAAATGAGTAAAAGAAAAGTGGTAAGACTGTACTGTGTCAAAGGCAGACAACTTGCAAGACCCAGAAAAACAAGGCAATGCTGTTGCATTCTGGCTCTCACAGGTTTTATTGTATAAATAAATGGTGAAAACACATCTGTTAGCAATGCTACAGAGTTGCTTTTTTTTAAAATTTCTTTTAATTTTTATTGTGAGTTGGGTGACAATTGACAGAGCAAATTCATTTTTCATAAAGCAGCTTATATTTTGTCTCATGACATTGACTGCAATTCTCCACATTGTAACAGCTTTCTTCCCACTTCCTCCCTATAAGTTACCTCTTTTCTGTGTCCTTCCCTTCCATGCACTCCTGTCCCTTAAGTTGTCTCCCTGTGCTTACACTGCCTTTCTGATCTGCCATGACTGATTGATCACTCCAAGTAGTGTATCTACTTGATGTAAATGTTCAGGCTGGAAGCCACAGGAGTGAGTTCAATTCCAGACCTGAAGGGTAGCTAGGGGCCATAATGCTACAGGTGAAAATCTGTGGACTAGATGACACACATCTATGCTTCTATCACTCTGAATATATATATTTTTAAATCAATGACTATCTTGAGTCTACACAGTCAATTAAAAAATCCTTCATTTCATCAGCCCAACAGGTAGAAAGACCTACATGCAGAACACCTACCTAGGGTGATGCACTCACCTATCCTAGGGAGATGCACCCCTTAGATCAATCAGCCATGAGGCACCAGAAGGGTAGCATTCCCATAGAGGGAAAGTGGGATAGACAGGAATGCATAGATAAGGATGACACAGGGCGTGGGTAGTCACTGGGAGGAGAAGGGAGGAAGAGTATTTTATGGTTGGGAATAGGAATGGGGCCACGAAATCAGATATGCATGAACTGTTGAATGTAAAACAAATTTGCACCCTAAGCCCAATAAACAAACAAACAAAATCCTGTATTTCAGTTCACTGAAATAAATACCTGTTCCTCCAACGAGAGCTCCCTTGGCTATATCTCCATTTCTCTGGTCAAGAGATTTCTACTCCCCATAAAAGAAAAAAAAAAGCTTTTAAATATTAAAGTTACCAATAAAGTAAAGAAAAACAAACTAAAAGCTATCAAGACTCCTTGAAAATGGCTATCTCAATACCTTATCTGTAGCTTCTGTTCTTCTGGTTCTTTTCATAATCTCCTCCAGTCGCTACAAGAAGGAAAGAGTTGAGCAAAAGAATCAGATACTGAAAATAAGCCAGCTGGCACATTTCTCTGATGAAACAAACAGCAGATTATTAAAAACATGGCTGTGATTTTGGGGAAATATAGTATCCACTGCTGGTCTCAACTGGAGTTGGAAACTGGCTTAAACCATACAAAGAAGAAGTGACTTTTGGTGAAAGCTGAAACACTGAGTGATTTCTTTGGGGAAGATTATCAATACTAAGAACTGCTTTCGTTTATTTGAAATGGGGCAAACACATTTGGTTTCTGATGACAATGAGCTAGCCTCTTGGTCCTCAGACACCTTCAAGGCCATCAGGACAGTCAGTGTCCCACGCCCCTGCCGTTAGATGCAGCTACCTTTTTCCTCTCCAGACGCTCCTGTTCTTCTCTCTGGAAATGCTTCTCTCGTTCCTGCCGGACCCTCTCTGCTTCTTCCCGAACACGAGCCTCTTCTTCTTTCTGAAAACAAAAAGTTGCCATCTACTTTCTAATAGGCCAGCTTTGCCTACTGCCCAGCCTCTCAAGGACACTCAGACATCATGGCACGATAGATGGAGAACATGTGGAAGATGAGAGCGTGCGTGTGCGCACAACCACACCTGGGAGTATTCCTAGCGATGACACAGTTAGTGTTTTCCTCAGTTCACCTGTGATAACCTCCCATCTGGAACGAGTAGCTGCCCTGAGACTCTCTGGCTTGCATAGGCCTGCAGCCTCGCACCTCCCAGGGGCCCAGAGACCGGTACCTGCTTCTGCATGCGCTCCATCTCCTCCTGCTCTTGCTCTTCTGCTTGGCGTCGGAGTTGTTCTTCCTTCTCCCTGGCTTGCTCAGCTTCTAGCTGTCGGGCTTCTTCCTCACGACGCATTCTCTCCTCGGCCACCCTTTGAGCTAGTTCCTCTCTCTTTTGTCTGGAATCAAGATACAGGAGAGTTACTTGAAAGGAGACCCGAGTTTGTGGTAACTACAAGAACAGGTTGTTCAAAGGTATGGCAGAAAATATTTTCCACTAGACTCCTCAGAAGACAACTGGGCAATCTACTTCCATAGACATACTGCCTCGGAAACTCAAGGAGGGATCACTATCTATGAGTTGGAACTGACTGGACGGCAGTGAGAGAGGACACATTCAACATGATTAAGAAACAAAATGTAACGCCACCCTCTAGTCTTTCTTTTCCCTTCCCAGTCTTAATGCCTCTTGTGATAAGCAGAAACAGGAGGTATTTTGAAGAGAGTTTTTTTAAGATCTAAAATTTAACTATCTTTGAAAGATAAGACTTACTTAATCTTCTGAATTCAGGAACAAATTTAAAGCCAAAACAAAGAGGAATTCTTTATAAATGAATAAATAAAGGTCATAGTGTCCTATCTTCCACCAAGGGCATGTGTTCTGAGTAACTTTCACAGAACAGGAGGAGGATGGGCTACAAAAGTTGCCTGCTGGGGTGAAGGGAAGGGCACATCCAAGATGGCTGCCTAGCACAAGGGGTGTGGTCTTTCTCAAAGGAGCAGTTCTGTTTGTTTGAAGAACATTTATGTTGACATTAGCCTTATGTGCTCCAGAAGGTGAATGACTAACAAACTGTCCCTGGCATAGTGTCTGGCAGGCAATTATGGGGCAGTTAACTGTCTTACCCAGCTATCCTCTGACAGGTGTTTGATCTGGAAGGAAGACTACATGAACCCTTACAGTGCAGTTTTAAAATGATGACAATTAGATTAGGAGAAAACACTGAGATTAGAGATATGTTAAGTAAAAAAGTAGGATGCACAATTAATTGTACTTCCATTGTAGTCATACAAACATACATACACACAATTATTAGGTTATTATAATAAGAAAATGTAATTTAAAAACAAAACAAACAAAAAAACCCACAACACTTAGTGGCCAGAGGAAGGGCATAGAAGAATAATTCTGAAACAGCTAGTCCATCCACCTTCATCACCGTTAAAAGCTCCCATCTTACACTGAAGACTTAATCTGAGGCATCACTGTATTACTAATATCAAGTCCTTGAGCAATGTCTTCTTCCCTTTACCTTTCAAGCTCTTCCCTCTCCCTCTTCTCTCTTTCCTCCTTCTCTCTCTGCTCTCGAGCCAGCCGCCTTTTCTCAGCGAGCAGCCTTGTGGCCTCTTCCGGGTCAGTTGTACCTGCAGAGGTCTTAGTAGAAGGACTGGTAGTCACAGAGGAGGACGGGGCTGGGACCGAGGCTGGGGCTGTGGCCGAGGTTGGTGCCGAAGCTGTGGCTGTGGCTGGAGCAGCTGTACAAACAGGTACAAGGAGAAAATCAACTGGAAACAAAACCCAAAGAACAAAACAAAAATTAGCATTCCCTACACCCCAGGCCTAGAATTTATCATTATAGAAGAAAAGGGAATGTTTACTGCTGTGTGTTCTCACGGTCTCACTGTATTCCATCTGTAACCAGGCAACAGTAAGGAAAAGCTGCATGTGTGAGTGAGACGTCCAAAGATGGTGACGCTCTGTCACCAAGTCTTATTTTTACACAAGTTAAATAAGTTAACAACATATATCGAATGTGTGCTGAGTAAACAGAGCTTCAGGTTAGGTCCTGTGGGAAGTTACACACTGAGCAAAAAGATGATGAGATCTTCCATTTGTCTTTTGTTGCATTTTTGAAATTCCTACTCTTCGGTGACTGTTCAATAGTAGAGCACTAAAGCCTTTCTATAACCATGCTCAGCGGCCATGCCATGAGTCCAGATTCAGGCTGGGAAAATGACACCAGACATCGAGGGCCCTACTGTCTACCCAATGCCGGTTCCCCACCTGAGATGGGAGAAGCCAAGGGTCTCTTCTAGTACAAGGTGGCACTCGTACGGCTTACACTTCCTGGGACTCCCAGTGAGTCCTAATGCTAAGATGACAGCCGATGCTCTTTGATCTTATTCAGATTGAGAAACAGGACCTAGAGAACTGGTGTAGCAGGGACCGCCGGAACTGCACGATTCTACAGCACAAGGCATCAGGGAGGTGCAATCTCTGGCATCTGACCATTCCAGATCTTCCTCTTAAGACTTGGGTTTCTCCTTCTGCTCCCACAGGTATTTCTTTACCATCATGACACCCGCTGGCCCTTCTCTTCTCCATCTTTTCATGCAGATGACATGAGACTCTCCCATTATCTGACAATATTTGTCTTAAATCATCTATTTGTGCTTTGCCCTCACCCTCTTTCCTCAAATTAAGTCTTGTTGTTATGTGCCGTCGAGATGGACCTGACTCATAGCGACCCCTCCTTGGGTTTCTGAGGTGGTATCACTACGGAAGTAGATTGCCCCATCTTCCTTCCGAGGAGTGGCCAGTGGGTTTGAACCGCCAGCCTTCTGGTTAGCAGTCAAGTGCCTTAGGCACTACGCTACCAGAGATCCTCAACTAAGTCTTAAGGGGAGTATTTTTGAATGAAGGCAATATGCAACAAGAAATAGGGAATTCCTAACTCCAGGTGATTTTAATCTTCTGAATAGCATCTGGTTAGCCTAGAAGATATGAGATTCACTGGGCCTTTTGGAAAAAATTCTGGCCTGTGTCAAATCCATAGGCTAATCAGTCCTTAAATATTAATATGCATCGGAATTGAGTTGCCAGATTTAATTGCTTATCCTGTATTTTACCTGGCAACTCTACATAAGAACCAACTGATAAGCTTATTATCCTTCAAAGTCCTGGGATCCACTAACACATATTCTGATTCAATAGGTCTGAGATAGAGCCCACAGATCTGTATTGGAAACAGGACACATGTAGTGGATTAAAAAGACTTCCACAAACTCCTCCCTTCAAAATATGCAGATGAAGTCCTCTCCCTTTGAGTATGAGATGAACCTAGTGACTTGCTTCTAATGAAGAGAATATGGTAGATATATTACAATGTGGTTTTGGAGACACTAGGTCACAAAAGACACTGTAGCTTCCATTTATTTATCTCCTGGATTACTCACTCTGGTGGAAGCGTGCAAAGGCAGAAGACAGATTGCAGGACATCAAGCAACGCTTTGAAGAGATCCATGTGTCATGGAACTGAAGTCTCCTGCCAGCAGCCACGAAGAACCATCCTCCATATCCACCAGAGCCAGCCGAGCCTCTGATGACTGCAACCCTGGCTGATAGCTTAGGTGCAACCTCACGAGAGACCCTGAGTGAGGTCCATCCACCTAAACCACTCCTAAATCTCTGACCCAAGACATTGTGTGGTATAATAAATGCTTACTGTTGTTTTAAGCTGCAAAATTTGGGGCTAATTCATTACACAGCAATAGATAATGAACACAACATTCTCATACAGGTGCTCTGAACACTCCATTTTGTGAAATTTGGAATAAAAGGACTCAGAAATCATGCCTGAATTAATATATTGTGGCTCTAACAACAGACTTTGGGATATGTAATTTACTGTCTTTCTACCTAAGAACATTATACTTAAGGTCCCAAAATTAGCCTCCGACTAGAATTTCCAAGTCGCCAATAAGAAAAAAAATATTCTAATAAAAGCAGCACAAAACAAAAAGAGCAAGCGAGTATGCTTACCAAACCCACATCCCACGACAAGGCAAAAAGTGTCCCACTTCTTACCAGGGACAGCTTCTGGCTCGACAGGTGTCCCTTCTTCAACTGTGGCCTCTTCCACCTTCACTAAAGGTGCCCTGCCCTTCACTGTGGGCTCATTGGCAACTATTTGAGGTTCCTTCTCTGGGTCCTTTTTCTCAGGCTCCACTTTGATTTCTCTCTTGACAGGGCGGATGTTGCCGGGAGATGGGGGCCGGGCTTGAGCAGAGGGAGCTTTGATTGAGCCAGGAGA